CTAAATCTAATTTAGGTCTACATGTCTACAAACAGGTCTACATACATAATTTAATTCTGGGCATTCTGTTGTACGCAGATGATATTGCTCTACTAGCTGAATCTGAGAAGGATTTAGAACATAATGTTAAATTTGTTATAGAGTTGGTGAAGCATGAAGCAAGAAATAACATTTTGGCAGGTTGAGCTGGGAGAGCATTAGGTTCTGTTGTCAACAAGTTTAAAATATGTAAAAGTCTTGAGTGTTTTATTTACTTACAGCTTTATGATGCATGTGTCTCCTCTATATTAAATTGTGCTCCAGGGAAATGGGATTTCAAAGGTTTTTAAGTGTTCATAAGTGTACTCCTACATTGGCTGTTCAGGGTGAGATGGGTTTGATTCCTGGATCAATAAAGCGAACATTTGATATAACACTGTGGAAGCATTAGTTTTTTTAGTCAGAACACAGAGTCAGTAAGGGTCTTTGGAGTAAATCCACGACTCTCCATTGGCTTCAGTGCTTAATGCGGTTTTTGAAGAAGCTGATTTGCCATATAAGTGTAGTAATAAGTTATCATACAACACAATTAGAAGAAAGGTATTTGCCATATTTAAAGAAAAATGGTTAAAAGATCTTGTCAAAGCTAAAGATACAAACATATTCAAAAGAATTTGACAATAATTCTCAATTACTTAATTTTCCTTTGTATTGCCATTTTTATGATGAGCTAAAAATATCTGTATTAAATGAAATGTCTGTTGCTGGCTGATGATAAAATTTGGATTGGTTGTTTAATTTTAATGCTTAGGTCGTTAAGTTGGCTACCTTTTTTTTTCTAATGCTTGAAAAAACATCAGGATTGTTTATTTGTTTAGTATTATTTGTAATTTATGATATTCTTGTTTCTGTCTCTTTTTTTTCTAAATAACGGTGTCTTGTAAGACCATTTGGGCTGGGCATATAATTTATACATGACACAATAATAAAAATATTAATTAATTCCCACTCAGCTTATTATCAAATATGGGTCCCTAAGGCTGTTGCTTTTTTTTTCTCTTTACAGACCAGGAAGAGAAGGCTCCAGTGAGAAGAAAATTAAAAAGAAGTAAGTAAGATATATATATATATTAAGTCATAGTTTGATGGTGTTGGATGTTTATACAGATGCATGAAGGTAAATCCTGTAATGCACTTTACGTGTATAAAACTAGCAATAGAAGTGAGTTTGGAAGCAACTAGATTGAATGTTTTAGTCTCGAAGTTGTTGTTCTTCAGTTCTAGTCTCATGGGAATTTCAATTTGTTTGGGTCATTCACACATTGTCACGTGAGGATTGATACGGTCACGTGTGGGTTGTTCGAGTCACATGAAAGTTGCGTGAATTCAAGTTTGAATTGGTGTGAACATCTGCCAGGGAAGAAATGTCAGGATGGCAATGTGATCAAATGTTGTGGCTGAGCGTCTCCTCTGTTTGTCAATGGTAGATTGCCTCCTTTCCAGCATTGTTGTCATGTTGAAGGCTATCTGAACATTGTTGACGTAACGGTTCCCTGTGGTGGAGGCTCCAAGACCCGCAGTAGTAAATGCTTTTATATGTAAAAAGATTCTACTATTTAATCAAATTGCAATGGTGTTTCTAATCCAGCACTAAAAAACATAATGTGGCTGAAATGATGTCTGTACTATAGACTCAAAATGTCATGTGTGTCGATTTGATGGTAAGTTTCAAATTTGTTAGGACATATTAGGTTATGCTTGAATCAAGATTTGTAAAACTTTTTCACAGCAGACATGTTTGGCTTGGAAAAGCACAGGTGGAACTAATAACCTTAACACTGGCTCAGTTTCAGCAGGTATTGCAGTGCTCTGCAGCAATTAATAGGGTTAGTAGCCACACCTGTGTTTGCTGAGAGAAAATACTGCGACAAAAGGTCTGTTCAGTTTTAGTTTCATACACTTACCTGTACTATATAAGCGTTCACATACCCATACATATTTATACTACTATTTGTGATGTAGACTTACCCCCAGCTGTTTATTCTGTATAAAATGTCTCACTATTGCCATTACTTGTACTAATATCTGCATTGTTTATCTTTTTGTTCATACTGTACATATCTTAGCGTATTCATATCTACCTCTTACTGTTTATATATGCACATTACTCTGTACTTTGCTGCTTTTTACACCTCTGGTTAGACTCTAAACTGCATTTAGTTTTCTCAGTACTTGTACTCTGAGCAATGACTGTAAAGTTACATCTTTAAAAAAAAAATCTAATCAAGAGATCTCAGAGGCTGGTGACTGTGGAGAAGTGATGTGCGAGACATCACATCAATGATGCACTGAAGGCGGCTCAAGAGGCAGAGCGGGTTGCCCGTTAATCGGAAGGTCGGCGGTTTAATCCCCGGCTCCTCCAGGCTGTGTGTCGAAGTGTCCTTGGGCGAGATACTGAACCCCGAATTGCCTCTGGTGGCTGTTCTGCCAGTGTATGAATATGTGTGAATGTTAGTTTTCTGTTTGAAACTCTGTTTGAGCACTTAGGCTCAGTGAATGAATGTGTGTGAGTGGTGCAGATGTAGTGTAAAAGTAGTCGAAAAGACTAGAAAGGTGCTATACAACATACAACTTTGGCAGTGAAGTTCCCCTGAATAAACGAAAAGTTAAAACTACACTGCTCTACATCCAAAGTTTAAAAAACAGAGTACATGTGCAAGTAATATTCCCAGTTTGCCCCAATTTTCTCAGTTTAAGTACCAAACAAAAACCTTGTAGATATCGTACCATAGATATCTGTGTTACTGAGGAACGGTCAACAAGGTAAAAAAAAAAAAAAAAGCAGTTAACTCATTTTCCTGCTCATCTCCTCTGCAAAGTGACACAACAACAGAGACCGTAACAGATACAGCGTGCGAGGCCGCGAGGCCTTAATAACAATACACACTGTTCTGTTTTCTGTATTCATGTTTTCCCTTTGTGCCCTGCCACTTGCTCTCAGAGCGAAAGACTCCAGCGACAGCAGCAGTGATTCAGACGGCTCCTCAAGTGACTCATCGTCGGACAGCAGCGACTCCTCCAGCTCCTCTTCAGATGACAGCGACAGCAGCAGTGACAGTGACGATGACAGCTCTTCCTCATCTTCCACTTCCTCCTCCTCCTCTTCATCCTCGGAAAGCTCAGACTCAGGAAGCAGCAGCGATTCAGATCAAGGACCTCCAAAGAAGAAGAAAAAGAAGAAATAAATAAATATGTTGGAATAAGTGGGTTTTATTGTTGTTTATTTCTCTATAGTACATTTTAGCTATCACATCATAGTTGGTTGGATCTGAATGGATAGGACACCTTTAGGGATGTAAATCTTTCAGTTGCATACTGCTCGTTCATTAAAGAAATGGAGATTAGAAAGAAAAAATTATTTTGGGTCGGCCACAGTGTCATGTTCTGTTTTCAAAACATATTTCCCGTGCTACTTCTGTTAATGTGATATAAAGTTTGGAGGTCTACTGAGGATACACATTTTAAATATCTGAGGAAACTAATGTGCTTATTCATGTTGAATTTGTGATTTTCTAATAAAGTATATTTTTAGTCAAACTTGTACAGCTCACAACTCTTAATAAAGCAAAGCCATATCTAGTATAAAAATTGATTTGAGACCTGTTAAAGGATACAGAATAAAAGTTCTGTTCAATTTTAAATTAGTTCAAGTTTGGTGGTCTTGTTGCTATGAAATTACAGCTGCTTGTTTCATTGTACAATAAACTTGGCTTGTTTTTCTTTTTAAGGCTCTTGCATATTTGCTAATGTACAAGGTTTTATTTTGCTAAAGAGAGACACATAATGACTTTACATTACAAATATGAATTTGAGGGGAAAAAAACTTAACTTATTAACAAATAGGATATTTTCAAAAACAGCATCTTAGTGCAAGGCCATGTTGGTAGACTAGCAGTTGTCTGCTAGGATAATATAAATAAAAGTGTTTTGAAATGTTTGATTTGTAATTATGGGTTTACTCTGTTGCCTCTTGGACTACCAGATCATGAATGTGGTTGTGGGAAACCACAAAATGTCTATGAAGATTCTCAGTCATTCAGGTCATAGTTATCCAACGAAGGTTAAAATCAAGGGCAACTGGACTTGGTTGAAGAACCAAGCAACCAACTTGAACCAACCAACTTGGTCTTCAACCAAGTCCAGTTGCCCTTGATTTTAACCTTCGTTGGGAAACCACAAAACTATCCATAGTACTACGGCCTAGTCATCCAAGAATGTGTTGCATGTGCAGCTGCAACTACTAATCTTTTTGTGGAATAGTTTATTGATTGATTATATGTCTGATTTTTTTTCTCTCTAAAGTTTGTTAACCTTTTTAATCCACTGTGTCAAGTGTGCCTGAAAGCCATAAATGGGCAGATCTCTTGCTGCTTACTAGCACTTTCTAGGTGAACTCATAAATACATTGAAGCATGCAAAAGGTTTGAAGCTGATGGTAGAAATCAAAATGACTGTAACTGACTTTACAGTCATTTTGTATTTATTTATAACCCAAAAGACGCGTGTCAACCAGGTGACAACTGAATTCAGGAGTCCATTTAAAAAAAAATGTTTTTCATTGGATATCACTTATCACAGCAGGGAAAAATGAAACGTCCTGAACGTCAGGTCTGAGTAACCTGTGCGTCACAGCAATGTTGCATTCACAACATGTGGGAATTACCATTAAATGCCGCGCTGGTACTGTGAAAGTGCCCTAAGAAAATGTTTACGACATTTGACTCAACTCCAGTGTCAGTGATCGGTAAGCTGTCAAAACAGCAATTTCTCTCAAGTTGTGTAAACCAACTAAAAGCTACAGCCAGTGCTGTTTTGAAATGGCCCATCGTCCATAGTGTTCCAAAAGCATCAACTATCTCTGTCACGTTTACAAAAAAAATTAACTTCTCTATTATGTTTACTTGGTATAGATAGGTGGTTGGTTTAAGATATTTCCGACAGCAACTGAAGGCAGCACCGCTTGCTGCCATCCATGCATCCAGTCCTGTCTGTGGTACCTGCTGGCTACATAACTTAGCTAGCAGCCTTACCTATCAGTCACTTCTATTCAGGAATAACAACATGAACGAGAGACAAAATGATTTTATTTGGTTTTCCGCTCGATGTGCAGTTGCGTTTTAAGAAAAAGATGGAGACCATCCATTTGCTTTTAGTATTTTAGCTGTTAAGCGTTTTGCTGAGTCCATTTTGCGTGTAACTGGAAGTGGAAAAGACAAAGAGAAAAGAGCTTTCCAATAGCTAGAATGGTTTGGGCCTAAAAAGAAGACAAGAGGTAAGGATGCCGAATATCACCAAAGGCGTTAATTGATGTTTAAATGTTTTTAATGTGTATGTGACATTTGGAGTGAATGTTAATTTAAAATACCGCAGAAAATGTCAATGGTTTCATAGCTAGTTAGCCGCTAGCCTAGCCTCCAAACGCTACTAGCAGATTTGGCTAGCCAACGTTAATGCTAAAGCAAAGATGCAGGTAGGTCCTGTAGGTAGAGTGTTAGCCTCTTGCTAAATGGGTAACGTTAGACCTTGTAGCTACTTTTGGGTTCTGATGATTATAAACATTGATCCATGAAATGATAACGCTAAATGACACTTTTATTCGTGCGGTGGCTGTCCGTCTGAAAAGTAGGACAAACATCGTAGTGATAGTGAGCATGTTTTCGTTCGTGTAATGTTAGCTAACACAGGTCATGACGTCTAATGTTTGTTTTCTGTGTTTAGCCCATGGTTGACATAATTTACACGCCTTTAGTTTGCTAACTGTTACCAATTTATGTTATCGACTACGAGATAATTGTTTCGAGATTCATGAGTGCAGATGAACAGGAGCTGCTCAGTTGTTTTACCATGCAAATAACTGTTCAGATATCCCATTCAGATCCGTGACTTCACTCTAGCTAAAATCTTAAAGCTGGATAGTTCAAATACGAGAAACGTTTATTTTACTTGCTTACAGTTTCTCTACCTTTTTTTAAAGAGCACATTTTAACTAATCCTAGGCCCATAATAGTCGCCTGGGTTTCCTCACAGTTAGACTAGCAAAACTTTTGGTTTGTTGTCCTGTAGCCTCCGCACATCGTATCCTGCATTTATTATCAGATTACTCTCAGTGCCATTCCTAGTAGTCTTAAACCAAAATCCCAATGACTGTAATTTAATTACTGTGGCGTAGAAAGGCAACAGAATAGCCTAGGTGCCTAGCTTTGGTCTAGCAAAAGGACAGCTGATATGCTTTTCTAGGAAGCCATTTTACGTGCCACAGTTGGGGGAAGGGCCAATACATCATAAGTCCAGGGTAACTCTCAAGTTAGTTAGGAACATCACTGGTTACATGTGTGTATATATTTAGCAGGATAACCTTGGCACATGGCGACATGGGCAGAGCAGCCGACTTGTTTGACACATCATGGTGGGGGAGGCCTAAGGTCATGAACTCTTTTATGGCAGGTAGCTGTGAACTGGAACAACATCGGTAGTCAGGTGGTAGATAGGTACATATATTCATGCCAATAAAGCTAATTTGAATTTGATAAGCTGTTGAAGTTGTGGGTGCAGTTAAAGTATACTGAGTGTCTTATTTTCATGTGGACATACCGGAGTGATGATCATGTTTGGTTAAGACAGAGAAAATATCTCCCTACTCTTTTAGACGGTGGCACGAGCCAGCAGTACTTACCAGATTAAGGCATCAATCTGTAAAATAAATTGCCATGTGAAAGTTTTCTGAATACACTAATGGAAATAAGCTCAGTCTGAGTACGCACAATGGCTGTAAAACATGAAAATTGTTTAACTATAGTATGCCTCTTATTTGGAGTTTTTTAACAATATTTTGTGAGGCAATCAAACAGTTTGACGAAATATACCATTTTAATCTACTCCCATGTATAGAATTAAAAAAAAAGCAGCTCAAAGTGTAATGCCTTTGCCAAACTTGCATGAAGGGTGTACAATGATGGCAATATGTCATAAACTTAGTTTGAAATACTGAAGGGAAAGTGATGCTTGATGTGGCGACAGGCTATGACTTTAAATCAACATCATATCAACTTTAACCATCACCATGAGACGTTTCACACTGTTATTTTGAATTGTTAAAGCTTAAACTCATTATGTTGCACACAGCCTTTAAAAAAAAAAAGATGTTCAGCAGTGAAATGAGCTGGTGAACCTAATTTAAATACTATTATAACTAAGGCAGTCCATGTAAACATGGTCAGTACATTCTTGCAGATAAAGATCTGTGCTGTCTTCTTGCGCTCCCTGTGACGCAGCTCACTGTGAAATCCTCTTCACTTCCTGTTTAGGTTTTGCTCTGTGGCTTTAGCATTAACTGTTTCCTCTGTAGCCAAGCAAAAGGCAAATGTTCTGTTGAGATGATATGGTGACTTGTTTGTCCGTTCCAGACAGAGGAATGGGTGCATGTTTTTTCTGGCCTTCACACATCCATTGTACATTGTGGTAGTAGTGCAGTGTGCTTTAGCTGGCTGGAAAAAGTAACATCTAATTGTCTCCGGCTAATGCCTGCAAGTTTATAATCAAATCTTATTTCCTTTACAAAGAGAAGCTTGTTGAAAGTAAGTTGTTTGAAGGCTCTTTCAGAGTATGCCAGTTTAATTAGCCCCAATCTAATCAGACATCAGCAGCTCTTTTTTTATCCCTCCGTGCTATTGCTCACACAGCAGAAAAATATGCTACTCACTGTGTCCTGACCTCATGCATCTGTTCTTCAGCTTTTGTTCCCTAGGATGTGAGTTAAGCTCTCATGTGGGTATATAGTCCAGTGGAGGTGAATTTTATTAAGGCCATTTTAATTTCACAGATCTGGCATACATCAGTGCTTTGAGATACTGCTCCATAATGTTGTTCTGGAAATTATAACGTCAGTCATGGTCTATTTCAGTAGTAATACTTCTGAAGAATAGTGTTGAAATTCAGTGGCACACCATTGTCAGAGCAGGGTTTAGTGCTCTGCGGCTGATAACAAACGGCTCAGTAAAACAGTAAAAATCCCACATAGCGAGATGGATCCAGAAGGTTGAAATTAGACGTACAACAAGATATTATAAATGTAATACATAGATGCAACCAAAGAACCGAATTAATGAATCGCAACTGTTTTATTTTTCATCAACTGGTCTCTTCATCCACACTCACATTTGGCCACAGCATGTATCACAGCGCCTGTTCTGTGTAGTGCAAAGGTTTATTAAGAGGTTCAGAGTAGTAAACTATAGATTACTGTGTGTTTCTATGTCTAGGCAGGCAGATATTCCAATGTCAAATTTAGCCCAGGCCGCTCTCTGAGTAATAAGATTGTGACTGATTTTCTTATGGAAAAAAAAGCTATTACAGAATACAGGAATTCCTATGACTCCTCCAATAGGATTGACTTTTCTTGTTATCACATGACTAGGAACGACTGCTGCATGTTGGCGCTGTATATGCTGCATGACTCCCTCAGTTTTAATTGCTTGTGCGTGTTTCAGCTTGGTTATATTTGTTTGTAGAATTACCCCAACTGATGAACGGTTAATTTGTGTATTGGGCTATTAAGGGTTTTCATATAGGTAAGCATTAATCGTTCAGGCTAAAGAAGGCCTGACTGTACAACCAAGCCAAGATGGGTTTCACATGTCAAGTGTTTCTTTTGTGTTAGGCTTAGGGATGTCAAGTTTAAGAAAAACTAGCTTAATGAACAATAAATGTGTAAAGTACACATGAAAGATTGATTTAAATCATTGACATGGACCTTTTTGCAGTATGAAGCCAGTCAATTAGGTAGTCAATCACTCACACGTTCACAAAATGGCTGCTCCTCCCAAATTAACCAAATTGAATTAAAACCATAATAATGAAGTGCTTACAGGCTTTATTAGGGGAGACCTCTCAGATTGTGCATATATTTTGCGACATTTTTGTGAAACATCAGATGTATTCGTCTTTCGTTCCATAAATCTGCTTGTGAGGCTATTTTATTTTTTATTTTTTTTAACTCATCACTTCTGGATGATTTCACTGTTCACTAAGAATTTTAACAAGACGTTGGCAAATGCAGGCACAAATTTCGACTGATGCAGGTATCCCAGGTGATTAAAAAAACCCACTTGATCTAACTGTAGGGAACATACTGGAACATGCCAAGTTTAAACTGTAGTTGCCTCATGCACTATATATATGATGAGTCATTATTGAATCAAAGCCAAGGGTGTGACTGTAAATTGTTAAAAATCTTACCATAGTTGAGATGTGGGTAAAGAGGGTCATGCAAAAAAAGACAAAGTACAAGCCTCTTGGCCAGCTTGGTTGCACATTAAAGAGCTTGAATGACGCAGGTTCTTTTGGAAACATAATTGAGGGTTGTGTGTCACGTTCCACTAACGGAAAAAAAGTAAGTGGACATTGTGTTTATTTGTGTCAAAGCTGAAAATGAGAGCATTTTCTTACTTCAAGTCCAAATAAACATTCCAGGTGGTTTAAGAGACACACTAAGTACAGTTGGTAAAGGTAAAGAAATCAATCTTAATGCACAGGGTAATGGATTTATAACAAAATGTGAAATGACATTGTTACTTTAGCGGTTCTTGTGTTTTGATGTAGGAGTTATTTATTAAATTGTGCTGATGTGCTTTTGAGATTCATGATTGTGGTTTTTTTTGCTTTTTTTTGTTTTGTTTTTTTTCATGAATGTCTTGAGCTTCTTTGGGACAATAGAAATAAGTTTTATAACATGTTGTCCTTTTTCCTGTGTCTGATATTTTGTTTTTTCAGTTAGTTTTTTAAATGTAGTTTTCAAAATGCACATTGAGAGATTGGCGCCAAGTTTTTTCAGATTTTGTTTTTAGGCTTTTTTTGATAGTTAAATTAGAGTGAGACACAGAAGGTAGGTGAGAGAGCGGATGACCTCAAGAGGGTTGTATTCATTCATTGAGAACAATACCTCTCAGCAAACAGGTTTGCTTGATGTCAAATATAAAAACACTGCCGAATTGATATGTTACTAATTAGTTTTTATGTGCAGGACAGTCACAGCACTGAACCCTGATTGGTAAATGCCACCAGCTCCCTCCGATTCAAATAATGCACGCCTGCTGAGTGGAGACATTCCAGCCAGTGAGTCAGTGCAAAGGCTTCAAACCTGCCTGAATAAAAGGATATAAACAGTTGTTTAGAGAACACGCCAATCAAGATTTAGTCTTGTTTTGATATGTTAATTGAAGCTAATCTAAAGTCACATAGAAATATTGAAGGATTTTACTGAAGCAGGACCTGAAG